GGGGAAGGAAAGCTCTGCCGCTGCCGGGTGCCGCAGGACCCCGAAGGGAGAGCCACCACAGTCAGCCGAGGGGAACTTCCAAACGGCGAAACGAAAACCAAAATCACTTTGGAGCTTTGACGAGACGGCGTCAAACGCGCCACGGCCACGAGGGAAGGTTTCACAGGCTGCTCGAGGCTCTCGGCGAAGAGGGCGTTTCTGACAGTAAACAAGCACGCTGCTTGGCGTGACGTCAGAAGGGGTCTGATCGCGCAAGCATCTTTCCCTGGCATTTTATCGCTAATCTGCTCATCAGTCAAGAAAAGCAGCTTCCTCCTCGGATGTAAAGGAGCAGCACCAAGATCAATCGGCTTAAGGCTGCCCCGTCCCCAGGCTTCAGCTGCGCTGGCACAGCAGAGCGGTCTGGGCACTTCCCCGAGCCCCCTGTTAGCTCCGGGGACAGCGGTGGGGCAGAGCGCGACGGGAGCAGCAGGAGAAGGCGGGGGGAGGAGGAGGAGGAGGAGGTGTGCAAACCAGGCACTGTCAGGTCCAGCTGGAGCTCACCAACACAGGCAGCGACCCAGGACAAGCGGGCAGGACACGGTGTGAGCAGGGGTTGTTCTGGCCAGAGCTCAGCCCATCCCGGGGAACAGCACTCTTCTCCTGCCCAGCACCACTTACCAGAGTTGCTCCAGAAGGGAAACTTACGGAACAAGATGCTCCGTCCTCTGCCTCGCTCGGCCAAGTTTGGGCTGAGTCCTTTTGAGACAGCAGTTCTAGTCGGTTTAAAAGAACCACAGCAAAACAAAACCCTAGCAAAAAGCTTCCCAGAAAAAAAACCTGCCTTGACCTTCCTTGGATATTAAAGGTGAACGGCAAAGGCAGGGAGAAAACCTGCCCCGCTCGCATCAGGGTCCGTTTAGCCAGGAGAGGAACAAACGCGGAGCTGCAGCTCCCCTCTTCCGCGGAGAGCAGCGTTTCAGCCGGCAGCCGCCGGGTGACCTCCCGCCGGGCGAGGGAGACATGACAAATCTAACGGTCGATGAAAAGGAAACTTTATTTGAAACCCATCCCTGTGCATTATAAAGGAGCAGAAAGGGGAAAGAACAGGGTCCTTCGGAGCTTACCGGTACCACCCCCCCAGGGCACTCGCGCAGCTACGGGGTTTCAGGCGCTTTGTCGCGAGGGGTGCAGCCCTCGGCTCCACGGGGGCAAAAGGAGGGCAGAAAGGGCGCTGCAGGCGGAGCTGTACCCCTGCGGTCCTACCTTCAGTCCGCCCGGCGGGCTCAGCAGATGGACTTCGAGGCACAGAAGGAGCAGCCGAGCCACCTCCACCTGCCACACGAGCAGGCGCCTGGCCTGCACGCCTGCTGGCCCCCCGGGCTGCTGCACCCCCTGCCCTGAGTGGCCGAAACCCCGCTCGGTGAGCGGCAGCTCACGGGCCAGACGCCAACGGCCCTTGCTGAAGCAGAGACGACTCCTGTCTCCCCCAAACCGCACGCTGAGGAGCAGAGCCTGGCAACCTTCGCCACAGGAACCTGTCAAAACACGGTTTCAGACAGCTGCAAGCACATCCATTTCGAAAGAGTTAACTTCTCCTGTCCCCCCACAACAACTCTGCAAGCCCCGACGTTCAGCAACAGTTTTCCAGCTGCAGCAGCTGGCTTGTTTCCATAACTCCCCCAAACTACACCCAAACACGGCGTCGGCATCTCAGGACTTGGCGCAGGATTCCCCAGGCCCTCCTCCAGCGGGCCGAGGGTGCTTTCCTGTGCTGCCAGCTCCCCTGCCTCCACCCTGCTTCCTTTTCACTTGGCTCTGCGACTCTGCTTTCAGTGTCTCAATCCAAAAGGCGTCAAAAGAGCCCGGAGCCTGGTATCCCGGCTCCCGAGGATCAAGGGCATCTTTGCTGAGTAGGACACATATGGCAGGAATGTTTCTCTTCACTGTCAAGGTATCAAGACCTGCCTCAGGCACAATGGGTTCCCAGATCTCTTCGATCTGTTTGAAGAGCACTTTGGTGATCTGGTGCAGCTCCTTCAGCCTTCGTTTCATGATTTCCACGCAGGTAATGGTCTTGCTGACGGCCTTGCCTGAGCCAGTGAAAAGCATCTGCCTCACTGAGTCCAGCTCCATCTTGCCGATGGCATAGCCCATCAGATTTCTGATTTTGCTCCCGTCCTTCACCTTCATTTCAATAATATCAGGGGGCAGGTTGGTGAAAGGAAGAGGACAGGGCTTCTCCACAATTTTGGTCTTCTTGTAGTTCTCCATTCCGCAGGGCTGAAAAGGAAAGCAGACCCATTACAGAAACTGCCACTATAATTGCTGCGCGGAGAAACTCACACCACAGTTAGCTACAACCTCTCCTCCAAGGGGCACACTGAGCTATCAGCTGGAGATCCTGGAAAGGCGTATCCGAAAGATCAGCAAGAATGCCCTGCTCATGCTGAGGAGTCACTGGTACCCAGTCTGTCTCCGTGTGTACCTACAGCAGGCACACTGCCACAGGGCAGCCTGGGCCCCGATACACAGGCAGTGAGAGGAACGGCGTTGGTGGTGTGGGCCTAAGCACGATGAAGTAAAAAATACTGGCTGTACCTCAGGGAAAAACAGAGGACACACGGGTGAGCTGAGGTTATTTGGAACAGAAACCAGGGGGATGCTGACCACAGCTGTACCCCGTGAGCCGCACCAGAACGTGTCCCTGGTGAACGCAGGCACAGCTCACCTGCAGCAGCTTGTGCAGGTTACAGAAACAGGGCCGTGGGGCCCTGAGCCCCGCGACTGGCCAGCCTAGGTGCAAGGCCACGGATATGCGACAGAACAGTGCAGGTCACAGGGGGGACAGCAAGCTGGGGGTTGCGGGCAGATTTCACATGGCCAGCAAGAAGCAGGACAACAGAAAGGCACATCAGGAAGAAAAAGAACGGTTCTCCGAGGGAAAGTAAAAAGACAAAAAGGTCCAGTCTCATAGCTCCCTGCTCTGCCAAGGCAAAGTGCCTCTACTGGCATCCTGACAGAAGCCTGCCTAACCTCTGCCTAACCCCCCTCCCCACCACGGAAAGCCCAAGCATGCAGCACTAAGGCCTTGTTAGCTGTAGGCTCATGAGCCCCATTTCTCCCAAAACCAGCACCTTGTACCCCAACCCCTTGGGAGACAGGGCAAGCCAATGCCCCCTCTCTGCCGCAGGAAGCACACGCCGTCCCCGAGGCCCTAACCCTCAGCACGGCATCAGGCCGACATCGCTGCCCGGGGGCCCGCCACGCACCCAGCTCTGGCGGGGAAGAGCAGCGCCAGGCCCTGCGGTAGGGGCTGGGGAACACCGCTGCTTCGGGGGATGAAGGCTGCCAGAGGACATCAGGGAACATTGAGCTCTCTGCTGCACCGGTTAGGAAGGCCAAGCCCCTGCTGGGGGGCTCCAAACGGGGAGGACGAGGGGGTTCGGCGAAACCACCGCTACTGGGGGCGGGGGTCAGGGGAGCAGACGAGGCCAGTGTCACAGGGCCCTGGGAAAGGCCAGACCGCTGAGACAGGGAACGCAGAGCGCAGGGAAGCCAAGCGCCGGGTACCGGG